GACCAGCCCCTTCAAGCCCGGCCCCTTTTAAAAATTCTTTCAAAGATTTTGGGATGGTCCCAGACATGGCATCAGAGCCGCACTTTGTAGAGGTTGCAATTGCCACCCATGGCCGACTTCGCCGCTCTTGTATCTTTTATTAAGAGCACGTTTTTGGAATTTTAACTGCTCCTAGTACTGTATGCGAACACGATGTTGTTACATTCGACTTGCCTTACAGTACTGGACTGCGCAAACCCTATCTATTGCTTTTTGGAAAACTCATGATCAAGTGTTTGCTGCTTTTATCAACTCTCATGACGAGCACCGAGTACATGTTGGTGAAAGCCATCAAACCAAGCTTTATAAATTGTGCTCTCCTCAATGTTATTCATCAATCTTGAAAATTCTGTGAAAAATTCTAGCAATAAACGTTTAATAAACGTTAACGAACATGTTAGTAATGCTCGCAACGAGAGAACCAATTCTCTTGGACAGTTTCACTGTGCTGCATGAACTCTGACCTTTCGCCCATAAGCTTGAGCCGTGACTCTTTCGCCTCATCTAAACTGGTAGTAAATTCTTGGACGTCGTTGCAAATATGGTCTTGTACGCTCTGGTTGAATAACACACGATTGTGACGCGTCCGGTTAACCTGTCTATGACCACAAGTCTTTCAGCATGTTGTCTGCCAACACCAGCTGTACAGCGCAAATACTAGTTTTGAAGATGCATCTATTGAATGTCAGAGTGGCACAAGGACATATACGCGCATTGCAATCGTCAGTTGAGAGAACTTTAGGTTCGCCAGGAATTACGAGTCCGCTGATTGGCACCTGTTGGACATACAATTTCAACAGGATCTTTGGCCTTGGGTAATTTCTGACGTGCTTCCAACGGTACGAGAATGTCAATGCATCATCCCTTCCCATTACACTCAGAAATCATTTCGTCGGAGGTGGAAGGACAAGCGGCCCAAGAAGGTATGCAAGCAAGAAGCCAAAGAACATCATCCATGCGTTCCACATCAACCGTGGCACATCGCCCATACCCACCGCCTCAACCAACGCTCCTTCAAGGCCAATCGCCAGGGCATCCATGCTGAATACATCCCGAGCGCGCGCCTTCGCACGATCGGACAACGCTTGGCGTTCAGAAGGGTCCATTGATACGATCTCAAGGAGTGCGTCGGCCCAGACCTCGGGGTCGGGTGTCCTCAGCCAGCCTGTCCGCTTTTCTGGTGCCCCATCGAGGACACTCTCTGTCGGGCCCCCACTATCGCATGCCAAGACTGGAACACCACACACCATGGCTTCGACAGGGCCGATGCCGAAATGTTCATTGGCAGGCGTGTAAAGTAACGCGATGGTCGACGAGCTGGAGAGGAGGGCGGTGCGTTGTGAGGTTGTGAAATTCAGGAGGAGTAGTACATCGGGATCATGGGGCGTCATGTTGAGTGGAGGGATCTTGATGGGTTTGTCGTTCGAAGGAGGAGTTATGACATTGTAGGTTAGGGATAGAGACTTGGCGAGGTCGATCAGAGAGTACAGAGTGAGCATATTGTCTTCGAGGCGAGGATCATAACCGCCTGAGATTACAGTCAGCAAGGGGGAAAGAGAGCAACAGCAGCAGATGAGTTTTACCTGCAAGGACGAGCCGTAGCGGTTGTGATGGTCGTTGTGACTTTAGACGTGCAAATGACTCCACAGCGAGGGCAACATTTTTCTTTTGCTCAAAACGATTAAGGGAAATCAATGTTGGCTTGTCACTATCTGATGGGTTAGCACAATACTAAGAGCAATGATACGAGGAAACCGACGAAAGGACTGCGATATTGTCTGGGTCATTGAGGTTCACTGTGGTTTCGTACGCCGTTATGTTGATACCTGGGTAGACAACATGAAGTGGTTGTTCAATGGACTTGAAGTAAGACTTTGTGACCCGTGCGGTGAAATTGGAGTTCGCGAGGATGATGTCCGCTTGCCCTACAGAACCTTGAGACACCTGATAACCTGGGAATCATTGTAACACCTACGTGTCGTTGATTCCTCCAACCAATCCATGGGGTAACGGTAGACCCGCTTCAACAGACCAACTTTTTTTTTGTTCTTTTTGCCCTCCACAAATGCGCCGTTTGCGAGCAGCTTGTCGGGGAAGTGGCAGTAGAACACGACTCGCGAGTTCCCAAGATGGCGCAGGAATGGGATACACGTCGAAAGCTGGTCAACGAAGTATACATCATATTTTGGAGCGGAAGGGGATAGAAGGTGGGCCGTGAGGTGCAACTGCCGCAGGTGGGCGAAGAGGATGTGAAGTTTGCCACTCAGTGACCGAGGAAATGGTGGGATGATGTGGTGAACACGAAGCGTTCCTATTGAGTTTATCCTAAACCATTTCACACATAACGAACATTCGTTTGCTCACCGTCTTTCGTTTCTTCAAAGCAGTGAGTTGGGTTATGGTGCGACGTATAGATGTCGACTGAATGACCACGCTCCTGAAGCCCGAGCGCTGCGTCAACAACTAGCCGCTCTGCACCACCTAACTCGATAAATATGAGCACAGCGAATCCGAAAATGCAAAGCTAAGAACCAATTCCAAGGTCTGGATGTATGAACGCAACCCTTAATGGTCGAGGTTCGGACATGGGAGAGGGTTGATGAGAGCCGAATATATGAATGGACTGGCATGGGACCCGATCGGAACCCGCATTTATGGTTAGGGTTATGACACGTCATACCAAGATCTCTACACGTTTCGCTAAGTTCGCTTGCCGTTGCGCCTTTCCTGGAATCAAAGTACTTCGAAACTAGACATTTGTTTCCCGTTGGTTTCTCGCAAGTCTCGATCCTCAAGTTTCCTTGTTCTCCACAACGAAATTCTGGGATCACCTCATGGCAAACTTACCTTGTCACCGCAAGGGACTCAATTCTGGCATGCCGTAGGGGCCCATCTGGAGATAGGAATGTTTTCTGCAATCATGTGAGTTGGTCACTGCATGGCTCGAGGAGGCAATAAAAGGCGATAATGATGCCTTACGATATAAATAGCACGCCATCAAAGTGACTGCCGACTGCAATTCTGGCCTTTGACAGCTTCCCACCACAACCACAACACCATGGCGCCTCCCACTGACATCGAGACCGTTCTGAAGGAGGAAATCAAGTACGCTGGTTCTCACTCGAATGAAGATCCGGCCTGACGATCTGTTTGAACTTGCAGGGAATGGCACTTTCGTAAGTTTCTATAACTATATCACTAGGACAAGCGCTGGCTTGACCTTGTTCGATTGTCTATAGATATCTACTTTCACCAGAAGAATGCCGCTGCTCATCATGCTGCACTCGAGTTGAGGGATGCTGTCCTGCGCTTACGCCGTGATGGCGCTTTCGTTGCAGTACCGCTGTTCCGAGTCAACACTGAACCTATTGGCCCACATCCCGTAGGCATGTGGGCTTTATCGTGTTAGTCTATTGAGAGAAAACTAATGAGGGTCGCTGTGTGATAGGTTCATATGAGATCTGGGTTCCATCAGAGACGTTCTCCTCGGTGTTTTCGTACCTCTGCATGCATCGTGGTAATCTAAGGTGACCATCTAAAAGCTTCATATGCAAACCTATGTTGATCCGACGACAGCATCCTCGTTCATCCTCTGACCCGTAGCCAGGTGAGTGACTTGGTCGCATTGTCTGCTTCCAGAGCGCTTATTCGGTATGCCCACACAGAAAGCGTGTGTATCAACTTTATGACGGATGCAAGTCAATGATCTTACCCCACCAACAGCGACCACGAAACTCGCAACGCCTGGATTGGCCCCTCGTTTGCCCTCGACCTGTCCACGTTGCCTCTGAAGAGCAACGAGCTCCCGTTGCAATATCCCAGCCTCAGTGAGTCTCATTCGAAAGATGTTGCATTGTCTGAACATCTATGTTATCAAGACCTGGGATACTCGACCAAGGCGCCGCAATTTTCCCTCGAGGATCGCCGTAAGCTCGGAGCCAACATCGAACATCTCCTCAAGGGCGAAAAGGAGGCTGCACGCGCGCCGCCTCGATGAGGTCGGGGAAGAATAAGAACTAGCTTTGTACCATTGTAATTCAAAGGGCATACCCTCGTGGATTCCATGCTTTGGTAGCCTGCATCCCATATATGTGGCGCAGGAAGCTCCTTCGGCCGCTTCTAGCTTCTTTTATGCTTTGGTGTACACTTTACTACCACAATGACACTATCTTGGGCCTAGGACACGACAACACGAAACCTATTGCATGCATATCCGACCTTAGCTCAGTTGGTAGAGCGCAAGACTGTAATGGATAATTTCTATCTTGATGCCGCCTGTTCGATCCAGGCAGGTCGGACTCCTTTTGCTGATCCAATCGATCTGAGACATTTCCAACCTTCCACGACACAAAAGTGTTTTGCCAAACTTTCAAAGACGTTTCCCGCCGCCGCAAGTGTCCCTCCTCCTCCCTCCTCCCCTTCTTCCCCCTCTTTTTGTGTTTAATATAGTATCTCAAGCCGCGTTAGCATGGTGGTAGCGCGAAACTGTACCAATTGTATATGGAGATATCTGTTCACACCGTGTTGTCTTGCAAGGCTGTCATCACTCAAGACTGAACTGAAGTAGACGTGAACAGATATGATTACAAGTACAGGTCAGGAGACAGTGGTTACAAAGGACGACTATATGGGTGAATAATATCTGCGTTTCATCCATCGTCCGGACACAGATGAACGAAAAACCAAGCAACTCACAGGAAATGATCTTCCAGCCCACGAATGGGCATGAAAGACAAAGCAAAGAAAATTAATACTCACATTTGAAGAACGAGTTCCGCGCACGGTCACGTTTTGACTGACGCTTTTCGTCAAAATAAGGTTCAGTCAACCTGAGACTTTTCGTACTTTGACTTGCAGCAACCTTTTTGGGAATTCCTGCGATCGTACGTGCGCCACAACGCCCTCCCCCTCCGTTTACGCTGCATTCTGGACATATTTCCCCTTGAATACACCCATTCCAAGCCGCGTTAGCGTAGTGGTAGCGCGTCTCACTTGTACGGCCGTTCTGGTTGCTGAGCCACTACGCTATGAGAAGGTCACTCGTTCAATCCGGGTACGTGGCAGGGGGCGATGTGCCTCAATTTTTGCGGAGGAGATTGATTTTTCAGAGTCCGACTGCAACATCTCCGGAGCCCGACAGGCAATCGGACCTCCGAATCCGAACCGACCCGGACTCTGGGACCATGCCGAGTCATAATGTTATTCCATGCTGCACTAGCTTTCTACCTTTACACTTTGCTTTCTATTTTCTCTCTGTCTCTAAAGCATGTCTTCTAGGCGCCATGGACCTCCTTGTACAATAGTTATCAAGCTTGGTGTGTTCAACATTTCGTTCTGCCAGCCTGGTATACTAAAAATCAACTAGGAACGTCATCTATCGTCCATGAAACTACTCATCAGCCATTACTTTCGACGCTATCATCAATCGTTGAAACAGTCATACATCTTCGGTCTCAGGGGCACAAGGTTGTCCTAGTCAGCTCTGGCGCCATTGGGGTTGGCCTGAAACGCATGGAAATGCCCTCGAGGCCAAAGAGTCTATCTGGCAAACAGGCGCGTCTCAATCAACTGCGTTCGATCATCGCGACAACTGATCATTATACCATCCTAGGCTCTAGCTGCAATTGGGCAAGGGCGGCTGATCGCGTTGTGGGACAACCTCTTCGGTCAGTTAGGGCAGCCGATTGCGCAAGTGCTGCTAACGCGCGGCGACATTTCGGATGTGTGTCGAGGCCGTGTGTGGTGCTCTTCTGGAATCCACTGACAATCGCGACGGCAGCGCACGCGATATTTAAACGCAGTCAATACATTCAAGGAACTTCTATCCATGGGTGTGGTCCCCATCGTCAACGAAAATGACACAGTGTCAGTTAGCGTGAGTCGATCAGGTATCTTTGGCTCGAGAGCTTTCACTCAGTCGCCATCTTTAGGAAATAAAATTCGGCGATAATGATACCCTATCCGCTATCACATCGTCCATGCTCCATGCCGATTATCTGTTCCTTATGACAGACGTAGACGGCCTCTACACGTCTAATCCCCGAAAAGACCCCGCCGCTAGACAGATAGAAGTCGTCGACTCGATAGCTGCCATCCGGTCCGAAGGTGAAACGTCTTCTGTAGATCATCTTCTTCGCCGACGTCTCATAGAATCATCTCAGTTAGCACGACGACACTCGGATCGAGCCTCGGGACTGGAGGAATGGAAACAAAAATCATCGCAGCTGAAATAGCAACTGCGGCTGGAGTCACCACCGTCATCTTGTCCAGCAAAAGACCAGAAAACATATTTGGAATAATTCAGTACTACAACCGCGGCTCTCCAAAAACGCCGCACGAGGTGGTGGGCCAATCTCACTCGAGACCAGAGAGTGCAAACACTAGCCGTAGCGCATCGCCTACTCCCCTGATCCGTCCACCGCATACCGTGTTCACAGCCTCCTCTGTCCCTATGCGCGACCTCAAGTCCTGGACTACACACACGCTCTTCCCTTCAGGGAGCGTCATCATTGACTCCGGCGCGTATCACGTCCTCTCACGGCGAGAGTCAGGCGGTCGCCTCCTTGCTGCCGGGGTCGTCGGAGTCATGGGCGCCTTTGCTTCTGGCCAGGCTGTTCGGATCGTGATCCGACGTCAGCCTGACGGGGTCACCTCCGTTGGAGACGCTGAGACGGCCGCCAAAGCTGCTGCGTACACCAAGGGGCTGGAAAGTACATGTCCGACGACGCCCACACTGAACGTACTGTCGCGCTCATCAAGCTTCGCCGCGCTCGCGGATGCACCAAAGACGATACCGGCCGAGGACGACGGGGTGCAGGTTCCAGAGAGCGATGTGCTAGAAGTCGGACGAGGCCTAGCAAACTATAATTCGGCGCAGATATTACGGGTCAAAGGCCTCAACAGGTGAGTTTCGGCTTCTGACTTGTCTTGTGATCACTGAACACTCCTCGAACAGTTCGTACCTCCCACAGATCCTGGGATACGCTGACTCGGAGTACGTGGTGGAGAATATTTCCATTAGAGTACCCCCCTCGTGATATATCGCGCCTCGAAACCCTACACCTACCTGTATATACACGTAAACGCTGCAACGTTCGTTTGATGGGCCAATGGGGCGGCTGAAATTTTCGATCAGGATACAGACAGGTTACGAGAATTACCTCCGTGAGGCGGTGGCTGTGAAAATATTTAGGCCAAACAACGAGAGCTGATTTTCGGATAATTTTTCTCAACCTCCATCTCTCTCCACACCAACCTTCTTCTATTCTCTTGTCTATGCAGTAACCTATCAGCCTATATATTTATCGCAGCAATGTACCACAACAACTCTATACGAATTCTTGCGGGTCAGTATTCTCGTCTTCTTCTCATAGCTTCTGGCGCCCCTAAACGTCCATCTCGTTGTAGGGAATAGCCATCCCGAGCTCGCCCAAGCCGTGGCCGAGCGGTGAGCTGCCTCTCCATGAGTTGCAGCTAAAAGAATAGTCCATGGACTAGTGATTCTTTCACACCACCAGGCTCAATGTGCCCCTCGTGCCCGTCACCGTCAAGAAATTCTCAAACGGCGAGATCAACGTAAAGATCTCCGAGTCGGTTCGTGACGAGGACGTCTTCATCATCCAGTCCGGATGCAGCGATGTCAACGACAACTTCATGGAGCTTCTCATTCTGATTTCGGCATGCAAGACGGCGTCTGCACGGAGGATCACCGCCGTCATCCCGTGCTTCCCCTACGCACGTATGGACAAGAAGGACAAGTCTCGGGCGCCGATCACCGCGAAGCTCGTTGCAAATATGCTCACAGTAGCGGGCTGCGATCATGTCATTACCATGGATCTTCATGCAAGTCAGATCCAGGGGTTCTTTGACATTCCGGTGGACAATCTCTTTTCGGAGCCACTGATGATCTCGTATATCAAGCGCTCCATACCCGACTGGCGGAACTCCATTATCGTCAGCCCAGACGCAGGAGGCGCAAAGCGGTGAGTGTTTTCGATTTTTTGTCTCATGCACGTTTCTGACATTGGGCAAGGGTAACGGCTATCGCTGACAAACTCAATGTGGAGTTTGCACTGATCCACCGTGGCCGTGACGGCAAGTCCCAGTCAGCGCCAGAAAGGATGGACATCCTCGTGGGCGACGTCAAGGATAAAGTGGGTTCAGCGCCTGTCTTGTCGTGTACTCCATCTTACATCTGCCCAGGTCGCTATTCTCGTCGACGATATGATCGATACTGGTCACACCCTCACGCTTGCAGCCCGAACACTATCTGAAAAGGGCGCAAAATCTGTACATGTTCTAATCTCACATGGTACCATCTCCCTCTGTCTCTCTCCGCCCTCAACGCTGCTTATCACTTCTCTTCCGATCCAGGGCTTCTATCTGAGACGAATATGGCGCTGATCGATGAGTTGCCAATACAAGAGCTCGTGGTGGGCGCCTTTTCCGTTTTCACATGCCAACATCATCTCACGTCATTTGATTCGGCAGGTCACCAACACCATCCCACAAAAACAGCACGCCAGCGCCTGCTCCAAACTAGTGACGATAGATGTCAGCCCCACCATCGCGGAGAGTATCCGTAGGACCCATAACGGAGAGAGTATTAGCTTGCTCTTTGGGGAGTGGGCCGAGACAGGGAACATCGCAGTCCTCTAGTTTCTCATCTCTGTATCATTATGCACTTATCTGGATATCCTGCAACAAACAATCACTGTACCTAGACATAGACAACATCAGTAGCAACAATCATCAACCTAAAGTCGACAATGTAGAGTTTCGTTCGTTCCGTTTATTAGCGTGAATGTGGTCTTGTGCGCGAACGGTTAACCGTAGTCCACGTTGCCGGTATGTTGCTTTATCTTGCCGGTAACTTATATTTACTGGTCGTGTGCATGAAAGAAGCATGTCTTGACAAATCTCACAAGTTAGACTACATACGCAACCAGCCCAACGTTGTCTAGCCTTCAGTTTATGGCGATCGAGTACGAAGTGGTCGTCAGAGTAGCACTCCCTGAACGTCCTTTGTAAGTCATGGGGAGCAGTAACAGACTACTACCACATACCTATGAACGGCTCCGTTCCTGCTTGTGCCTGAACCAGGAATTGAGAGGACGGGACGCCCTGGTTAGAGATAAGGAAATCTATGAAAGGCGGTGTAAGTAAGAAAAAGGTATTCAAAGCTTTTCCGGGCACTCACTGAAGAAGGGTTTGAGGTCAGAGTTGAAGTTGGTGATCTCGGTCGGGGCAACAAACGAGAATACTGTCCATGTTGACACAGTACCCTTGAAGAGCTTCCAGGTTACTCCGTTGACACTAAAATGGCTTCTCGATATTACCTCGGCTTAACATCGCAAAGAACCTACCTTGCTGTACCGATTTGAGAGCCCGCTGGGCCAGCGCTAAGCGGCAAGTCAGGTCTAAGTAATAATGTACCCAACATAACTCACCCTCCTCTCGTACTGAGCCATACCATCCTACGTGATTTTAGTGTCATGCACGCACGGGAGCCAACAGGGGACCTACACCTCAAAAGTAGAGCTCGACGATGCGCCGGTCGAGCCGGAATTGGCCGACAGCCATAGGTCGTACGAGACGTCGGCGACCAGTCCGGAGGACGCCGAGCTGTACGTCCAAGACCAGGCAGATGGGATCGACTGAATTGACGCCAGAGACTTTCCGACGCCCACTCGCAGATCAAGGTTGGCATCTACGCATGTGCCATTGAAGTGAGAAACGCTATGAGAACATTGAGAAGCAGGGGCGCGCACAGCTTTTGACATTGAAGTTCCCTGAAAATGGGATTGATTTGCTTGAACTAAGCTTCAAACAGTATTTCAACTCACCTCCAGCCCAGGTATAGGTTGTATGCCAAGCAACAGAATTTCCGTTTGTCGATGTCACTTGGGAGCTTTGGGACCCTAATGAAGAAGCTAGAGGGAAGACGGATGGCCGTGTACCGATGTTTACTGACCGCTTGTTGCACTGCTTTGACCCCATAGATTGTTCTCGAGGACGAAGCGGCTGCAGGTTACGGGGGTCTGTCATCGGAGGTAGAGTTCAG